TGCCTCAGGGAAACCTATGAGAAACCCCCATGGCCCCAAGACTGTTTCCAAATCTAATCTGGTTTCTTTCGGTGAGTTTTCTCTTCCTGAGTCACACTGCTTTGTAAGTCACAGTCAGACTTGGACTTTGCAGTGGGTGTGAGCAGTGGTGAAGGGAATTTAAAACACTAAAGAAATTCTGTTTCTGATCAAGCGGTTAAAGCAACGTAGAGCACACAGACATAGGAGCTCTGTACCTACCCTCTGAATACTTTTCAAGATTTCGATCGGTTGAATGGCTGTTGAATAGAGTCGGAGCAGATGTGGAGTTTACAGTGAAAGAGCAGCCTTTACCGGTATGACTGAGGGATGCATACAGGCTGGTCCACCACCTCCCAAACTGTGACTCAGAGTTCCGTGGGAGGCACGCGAGAGCCACAAAGACTCATAAAGGGTCCCCTGGCCAACTAAGACTAGGGAACTCTAGGTGAACGCCAGTTAAACAGATTCTTCATTTTGATTTTAATTGAAAGAATTCTCAGAGTTTAAAATGTGAATAATTCTTGTGACTCTCCTATGGGGGGACAAGAGGGCAGCATTTCCCCAATTTATTGAAGCATGAGATTTTCTTTTTTTTTTTTTTCAGTGTCTTCGGGGACTAGGATTCTAAGGAACACACTTAGGAAAATGCTGATATGATGGTTTCGATGGGGATTCTTAACACTGTCTGTACCCTAGCACCTCCAGTAGCATTTGATTAAAAAAAAAAAAAGCTTTCTGGATCCTGCTCCAGAGTCTCCAGGAGAAGGGCCATTGCAAACACATGTTTCAGAGGTTCTGCTGGAGACCCTGTTGTGCAGCCGGAGCCAACAGCCACTGCAGTGGGACAATGGCTCCTGGATTCAAGACAGCCAAGTTCAAGTCCAGGTGCCACGAGTAGTCATTTTAGTACATTATAGTGGGAAAGTGACCTCATCTAGTTGTCTTATTTTTCCCATCCATAACATAGGAAGTGAAACTGACTCACTGGTATAGTTTTAGGTCCAAAAGAATTAAATGAGATAATGAAGTAAAACAATTAGCACAGAGTTGGCGCTGTTTCCAACTCGTAATCCTCAGTAGCTTCGGGATAAATAAAAATAGTAAAAGAATTTGCTTTCTTGATCTTTTGGGCTCATATGCCAACAACTTTTGGCCTTTCCAACAAGAATGAAATAATTTTGAATTCTTATGTCTTTGATATGCCTGTGGCACTTCGATTTTTATTGTCTTTAGATCAATGTTCTGAAAGATAGGGGTCAGACCATTAAGAAAGATGCCTGTGAGTCTTTTGGAAATCACACCCTGTGTCTTCTGGAAATAGTTCCTCATCTTCCAGATTGTATGCAATCTCCATTTTCCAAGAGATCATCTAAACTAACCCAAGAAATTGAAATCTGGCTTTACAACATAAATGAAATGATGTCTCATGGATTTGCATTATATGCCCTGCAAAGGTCCAACACTGGACCATGCTCTTCAACTGAGGCAGAGTTTTCTAAAATATTAACTTCAAAGGCATTTCTATTTCTCTAAGGGCAGATGTAATGAGATTTTTATAGACATTTGCTGTCTTCATGCTTTCTTTCCTTTTTAATAATCCTTTCAATGTCTTATTCCATTAAACAGATTTTTAAAATCTAGTACTGAGTGTGTGTGTGTGTGTGTGTGTGTGTGTGTGTGTGGTGTGATGACAGCCACCCTCCAGGGAGAAACGTATGTGTGAATTTGACTTTGGCCCAGGGAGGTGCCATTGTCTATGAATGAAATGGTACAGATAATTTCGGTTTTATAAGCGGATACTTTTCCGAAGTTCATTTGTAAGTCAGTAGTTTGGAACTTGGAACACATTTTCTCATAAAAGAAACGTTCCACATGGTGGATGGAGTCCTGGGTCAGCCCACAAGAGCCTGTTTAACTCGTGCCGCACCTGAAGCGCCATTGTTATTAACTTCAGAGAACAACATTTCCATGGGAACGTACTTTCAGGGTTCTGTTTGTCTGATGTTGAGAACCACTGACTATAAAACTTTAACTCATCTCCTAAATCACTTCTCCCCTTTTCCTTTAATAAATTACCAAGAAGAGGAGCCATTCATACCACAAATTATTTCTTGAATATATTAGGTTAAAATAATATTTTTTCTCTGCTTGTTTTATGCACTTTAAACTTTAGTAAAAAGATGCATATAACAAGGAAAAAAAGAGTTTCTTTAAACATTCTTGAACCGCTTTCAAACCTGGTGCCTTGTCCTGGCATTTCGTGGCTCACTCTGTATGTCACGGCCTGGTCAGCTGTCTGCAGAGTGGCAACTGTCACCACCTTATGTTTCTTTTTACAAAGAAATTGTTTTTTTTTCTGTTGTATCTTTACCTTTCTCTGAAGTTTTTAAAACTTGTCTTATAATTTAATAGGAATCTGGAATAAGGAAGTAATGAAATATATTCTAGGTCACACTGACCACAGGAATCAGAAATGTTTCAACTAATTATACACAGATTATGGTAGAAGTTGTATAAATATATCACAGAATCACAGGCTGGAAAGAACCTTAAAAGATTGTCTAGTCTATTCCCTGGCTTCTGGACAAGCCAATCATTCCAAACAGATGAGAACTAACCTCTGTTTTAGAGGAGAAGGATGACTTTGGCTTTAACCCTTTCTAAAAGATTTACAAACTATATAACATTAGTAAATTATTCTTAATTTTTAATCTAGAGCCTTCCTTTGACAGTTCCGACTGTACTTTACTTTCTCATATGTGCTCCTCATGGGGAAAAAAGTAGGTTGATTCATGTAAAATCTTGTAGTAAATTTAAATATTATATTCTGTGCTCTCTCTTCCAGGGCCTTCCTGAACATCTCACTGTCTAATACCTTAGTTTCTTTGCTGCCTCTTGGTTACACTTTTCATCAGTGGGAACTAAAATTGAGCTATTGTGTTTCACGAGGCTGCGAGAACTGAGAATAGTTCCCACGCATAGGAACATTTAAGTATAATCTGATAAGTAGACCCGAAGAATCAAAAGAAAACCATATTTAACATTTATAATAAAATTTCAACAACAAAGGGTATCTATTACAATCATTTTCTTCCAGGTAGTGAAAAGGGCATAACCAGCCCTAATCATATCAGCTCTTCAACCAGGTAAGGAATTCAAAGAGAATCTACCCTTATACAATGTGATATCCTTAAATGTCAACAAATGTAATTTTTCTATCGAGAGCCTACGAGAGAACCTGCAAGGGGTGATCTCAAATAGCTTTTCTTGATTGCTGACGATTATTTGGACTTACTACTCAGAGACTCTTTAATGGAAGTTTTCAAAGGGATGGACGTACTGATCTTTTCCCTGCGGAAGACACTAAACATACAGGCTTTATACCAAGTACTGTTGTCTGTGTTACTGACTTAAAATAGTCCTATCGTCCCCCATGATAGTAGAGGAAGGAAGGCTACTTACTGCATATTTCCCTTGAGAGGAAAGGAAATATGAGAGGTTTTGAATGCCTCAAAAATGGAGGTTATGTCAAAAAGAAGTAGACATGGGTGGAAATTTCCATAATTATAGTCTCAACCTGATAGTAAACAATGTGCCTTGTTTATTTCCCAAACTTACAGACTCATTGAATGGTGTGATGGTTAATTCTGGGTGTCATCTTGACTGGTCAAGGGGGTCTCCGGATTAAACAATATTTCTGGTGTTCCTGTGAGGGTATTTCTGGTTGAAATTAGCATTTGAATCATTGGACTCAGTGAAGCAGATTTCCCTGCCCACTGTGGGTGGGCCTCATCCAATCCCTTGAAGGCCCGAGTAGAACCAAATATGGAGGGAGGAGGAGTATGATTTTTTCCCCAACCTTACTGAATTAAGCTGGGGCATCTCATCTTATATTCTTCCCCTGCTCTTGGACTGGGATCTGCAGCATTAGCTCCTCTGGTTCTCAGGCCTTTCACACTTGGAATTGGACTCGGACTCAATTACACCAGTGGCTTTCCTGGGCTCTCAGCTTGTAGGTGGCAAGTTGTGGGACTTCTCAGTCTCCACTGTCGCATGAGCCAATTCCTCACAAGACATCTCCTTTTCTATCTATCCGTCTATTGATAGATATATCTCCATCCTACTGATTCTGTTCTCTGGAGAACTCCGACTTACACTGGTGGCCACTCATCCATCCTAAGTATCTAAGGGGACAGAGGCAACTTTCTGAGACCAGGCTAACAACCTTGATTCTATACAAGGACTGTGAGAGCACCAGGCCTAACTTTTCTTCATCAGCAAAGCACCTGAGTAGAGACCATCAGCCCTACTTTGGCATAAGCTTACAAAGTAGGATCTGTCTCCACAGCTTCCTGCCAGAGTATAGCACCCCTACTCCACCACCAGCATGTCCACTTGTACGGCTCGGCTATATTAGCGCAGATTTGTTCCTGGGAAATTGGACAATTCTTTTGCCACCACTGAATATGCCAAAAGCTGTTTTGGAAGCTCAAGACCCCTTGAACTTACTATAACAGGAAGTTCATGCCCCATCAACCAACCAGATTCCTGGCCCAAAGAGGGTAGTCTCTTTATGATAACCAGAAAAATGTGAGACACTTCTGAGGAAATGCAGAGGAAGAAATATTAAAATAAAGTTGTCTTATTTTTGCTCTCAGGATGCCAGGACTACTTATAGCTCAGTGGTGTAACCATCTGAGATTGAAGCATTGCTCATTTTAGCTAAATAGACAATGACCAGTGGACTCTGCCCTTCACTGGTCTTAAGAAAAGTATTCCTCAGGGAAATTTCCTGGTTTGAAGACTTCTGTCAGAGCCCTGACTTAAACTTCCTTCCACACTCTGGCAAAAATACAGAATGAAATTATACCTCTGGTGTTCATTCGTTAGGGGTTTAAAGGGTGTTCTAGAAGGCACCCACTAATTACACAAACGAGTTAAAGCAAAGTACAGTTTAACCATGGGCAGAGACAACTTACTTGTTCATTTTTAGTAAGCCTGGTTTTGTTGTGAATGTCTGAAGTGACCAAATTGAATCCATGCTTCTCCGACAAGATTCTCAGAAGCAAGACCACGGTACGACTCCCACACTTGCCAACTCTGTTATACACCACCTGGCTCGGGAAAGGCAGCACCTGGGAAAGAACCAGAGAGCAAATGAGCGACTTTGGGGTTAAAGCAGCTCGGCCCCTTCCCTCAGTTTCAGAATAATAAGTGTTTGCTCCATCTAAATGAGAAAGGTCCATATGGAGTGAATGAGAGGACAGAAGTAATGAGCTCATGTTTAATCTTCATAGTGTTAACTTGAGAGAAACGCTGGACTCATTACCTATCTGCACTGATACTTAACCCTGGCAAAATTTCATGCCATCTATAAGCTTCTTTTGTTTTTCCTTAGGAAGAAACTATATAAATGTGTGCTTTAATGATAATATTCTTTTGCAAGTTATATTATGCTTATATATTATTACAATTTAATCTGGAGAGTACTCAAAGAAAATATAGGAAATTTTAAAGTTGAGATGTAATTTAAATATGATAAAATTCACCCTTTTAAAGTGTACAACGCAGTACGTTTAGGTATATTCACTAAGTTGTGAACCATCACCACTACGTAATTGCAGAACATTTTCATCATCCCTAAAAGGAACTCCATACCTGTTAGCAGTTACTTTCCATTTACTTCATTACCTTGATCCATTGAAACCATTTACCTACCTTCTGTCTCTATGGTTTTGTCTAGAGCATTCTGAAGATCTCACATGTTCAGAATCATATAACATGGCATTTTGTGTCTGGCTTCTTTCACTGAGCATAATGATTTCTAGGTTCATCAGTGTTGCTGTTGTGTGAATTGGTACTTCATCTCTTTACATGGCTGAATGACGTTACATTGTATGGATATACCATATTTTGTTTACACATTCATCAGTTGAAGAACATTTGATCTGGATTGCTTCCACTTTTTGCCAACTATCAATAATGTTGCTATGAACGTTTATGTATAAGTTTTTGTGTGGACATATGGTTTTGATTTTGCCTTGAGTACATCCTATAGTGGAATTGCTGGATCATAGAATAACTCTTTAATTTTTTGAAGAACTGCCAAACTGTTTTTAATATAGCTGCACCATTTTATATTCCCACCAGCAACGGATGAGAGTTTCAATTTCTCCACATCCTTGCCAACACTTGTTATTGCTTGTTTTTTTATTATCATTATTATTATAGACATCTTAATGGACATGAAGTGGTATCTCATTGTGGTTTTGATTTGCATTTCCCTAATGACTAATGATGTTGAGCACATTTGATGATGTGTTTATTAGCCACTTGTATATTTTCTTTGGAGAAATGTCTATTCAAATCCTTTACTCATTTTAAAATGGAGTTATTTGTCTTTTTATTGTTGAGTTTTAAAAGTTCTGTATTTTTTCTGGATTTGGAAATATATGACCTGAAAATATTTTCTCCCATTCAGTGGGATGTCTTTTTACTTTCTTGACAGTGTCAAAGCACAAGTTTTTAATCTCGATGGAGTTCAATTTATCTAAGTTTTCTTTGGTTGCTTGTGCTTTTGGTATCCTATCTAAGAAACTATTGCCTAATCCAAGATCACAAAGATACACACCTATGTTTTCTCTGAAAAGTTTTATAGTCTTAGTGCTAACATTTGGGTCTTTGATTCATTTTGAGTTGATTTTGTGTATGGTGTGAGCTACTGATCTAATGTCATTCTTTTGCATGTGAATATCCATTTGTCCTAGCACCATTTATTGAAAAGATTAACTTTTTCTCCATTTAACTGTTTAGGTACCCTTATTGAAAACCCACTAACCATACATATATGGGTTTATTTTTGGACTCTCAGTTCTATTCCATTGACCTATATGTTTATCCTTACGCTGGTACCACAGAGTCTTGATTATTTTGCTTTATTGTAAGTTCTGAAATCAGGAAGGGTGACTCCCTGCAACTGTGTTCTTCTTTTTCAGGACTGTTTTGGCTATTCTGGGTCCCTTGCATCTCCATATAAATTTTAGGATCAGTGTGTCAATCTCTGCAAAAAAAGCAGTTGAGATTTTGATAAAGATTGTGTTGAATCTGTAGATCAATCTGAGGACTATTGCCACTTTAATAATATTAAGTCTTCCAATACATGTACATGAATGTCTTTCTAGTTATTCGATTTTCCTTTAATTTGTTTCATTGATGTTTTGCAATTTTCAGTATGCAGGCCGCACAGTCCTTTTATTCCTTTTGATGCTATTATAAATGGAATTGTTTTCTTAATTAATTTTTTGTATTGACTGTTCACTGATTTTTGTATATTGATCTTGTATCCTCTAATCTTGCTAAACTCACTTATTAACTCTAATAGTATTTTGTGTGGGTTCTTTAGGATTTCAATACACATGATCATGTCATCTGCAGACAGATAGGTTTACTTCTTTTCCAGTATGGATGCCTTTTATTTCTTTTTCTTTTCTAATTGCCCAGTTATAATGATTTTGATAGACTAATAAGCAATTACACACAGCATCTGATCAAATATTTATATCCTCAGCAAAGATATTATTTCCATTTTGAATGCTCAGCATTGAGCAATAATTGACAAATGATCAAAAGATTCCTTCACTTAGCACGTATTCATAACAAAAGGCCATAAAAAGGCCCATAACTAAAGAATATAGTACAATATAAACATAAATATACCCCAAATTTGCCTTTGGTATGTAAGTTGAATTTTTGTCTTTGTAATTGTAGGTTTACTTATTTTCTTAAGATATTTTATATGCAAAGTAGCATTTCATAAATTCGGAGCTTCAAGGCTAATTGTCATTGGAGTAAAACAGAATATCCACACCATTCACTTAACAACCAGTCATGTACCACTATGATATAGTTTTTCCAGCATATATAAATATATATTTTTAAAATAAGTAGTACTTTGTTTCCTTAGGGCCAGACAGTATCTTCTATTATGTGTCCTCACAGTGCCTAGAAAATGCCTTGTATATACAGGGCCTCAACAGGCATTGACTGGTTCTTGGCAGCTTGAAGGGATTTACGAGTTAACACAATGATTCCACTAAACTGTGAGTCCAGAATAATCTTCAAAGATAGCTGATCTTTCTGACCAAATGCTAATAAAACTCATCAGGGTAAAAAGACCATCATTATAAAAGGTCATTTTACTGATGGTTCAATCCATGGAGTATCCCAAAAGTCTGTTCTCTGGCAATGACTGCAGAAGTTCAGATATTCAGATAAATCACTTAGTTCTTATTTATGAGGTTATGACCCAGGGAGGTTGAACTGGGCTTCATGTTCAATGTAATGATATTAATAGTGTTTGTAAGTTGGACTTTCCATAATAACCAGGCTGGGAGATGGACTACAGTTCTAACAGAGCTGCCAACATAAACACAAATTTTAATTTCTTTGGAAAAATAAACTGTTCAGGAATTAGGTGAATGCATTTTTCCTTGTCTTCTAGCACAGCATAGAACAACAAGGGAGAATTTGTTTTGACTAAATTGATGACTTAGAAGATGTGAGTTACCACATATTAAGTACTTTATTCTAAGAGTGCAGGTATACCTTAGAAGATTTAAATGAAGAACAGAGGCACTTAGAAACCTTAGGTGGAAACACTTAATTTCCCTGGAATTTCTTAGGTAATTAATGCAGGTGCAGGCTTAATATCTATCTACAACCTTTTGCTAATAGCTCAAGATGTTATTTACCTTTGGGTTATTGGTTAGTGTTTAAAAAATACATTCATTCCAATTATTTCATCAGTTTTGTGGAAAGCTCCCAAATAATGATTATAAATATTGTTATTTAAAAAGAACACATATAAAAACTAAAATCCCTGCATCATTCCTGAAGCTACATCTACAATAATAATTGAAAAACAGGAGAGCTTAACATCCCCAGCATGACTCCAATTTTACCATTTCTTTAAACACCAATGTACAGCTACAGAGTATGAACGTAGAGCGAGGAAATGTGTTTTCAGATAAAGCTTCTGGCATCAGTCTTGTGACTTTTAAAGACACAGCATACACCGTCGCAAATATGAAGTTCTCTCAAATTTAGGGTGGGACTTTTAAACCCTTTCCTAAAAACCTATGGAGTCCACTGGAATTGGCAGATTTAGTCAGGCCAAACCAATGTGTTAATTTGATGGTTGGATGATGTGTTAAAATTACCAATGGTAACAAGTTGATTCATCCCTGCTTTTAGTAGAACTATAAATTTGCTCTTGAAGTCTGCTTTACCAGTCATTGTCATTTTTTATTTAAAGTGTACTTTCTGGAACAATGGTGAAAAATACGGAGGGCCAACCCTGACCCTCTACCAGGCTCTGTGCCATGTAAATTCTTTTAATCCGTGTTAACAATACTGAATCAAATAGCATAATTATCTTCACTCTAGCTGGGCATTTCTCTAGGATTTTAAAGTATCAAACAATTTAAGCATCATTAATAGCACCTAAGTGACTCTCCTGTGTGCCCCCTCCCTTCCCACATGTCATAGACTCACAGAATGACAGAGTTTGAGGTCTAGAGGTAATCTGCAATAATCCATCCATTCCAGCTCCCTCCCAATCTGTGCTCGACTCTGTTAGAGCTTTATCTTGTCTTTTCATTCTCTCAAATATCCTGGAAAGTAGATATTAAGACTATTTTTAGATGAGTAAACTGAGGCCAGAGAGATCATTTGGCATGTTCAAGGTCACAAAGCTAAAAAGCGGGAGGTACCAACTAAACCCCAGCTCGCAGCTTTCTTGACCCTGAGACAAGACTCTTGTCTATCCTACTATAACATCACAGGGTGAAAATGATCTTCAGCTTGACTTCTGCAACAGAGATGCTATTTCTTTTTGTCATGTCTTGAATGTGTCCAACCTCATTTAATGCTATTGTTCAACAGGCAACTATCACAACCAGTATCATTGGTCATTAGTCATCCATTACTTATGTCCCCAGAAGGCTCAGGTGGAGCTGACAGGAGTCGGTTGGACTCAGAACATGTTTTATAAGCTAATGTAAGCCGGAAGTGTCAGAGCAGCTAATGGGAGAAGAAGAGGAGAAGGATGCAGTTTTCCCTTTACCCCTTCCCCCTA